AATTATTAAAGACTATGGCCGCTGCTCAGGCAGGTGTGGCTCAGTTGGTTGAGTATCATCCCATGCACTGAAAGGTTGCTGGTTCAATTCCCTGTCAAGGCACATGTCTAGGTTACGGGCTCTATCCCCAGGAGGAGGTGTTGGTAGTGGTGTGCAGGAGGCAGCCGATTGATGTTTCTCTCTCACATCAATGTCTCTCTGTCTCCTCCCTTCCTCTCTCTCTAAAAAAATAAATAAAAATATTTAAAAAACAAAAAGGTATGGCAATAGAATTTAAAAGAACTCATTTTGCTGTCTGCCCAAATCCATTCTCATCATCTTCTGGACATGGCTTAGACCTGTACTTGCTGGCTAATGCCATGTGAGCAGGAGTGATGTGTCACTTCTAGACCAGGGCCTTTAAACGTAAAGGTGTGCCTTCTCAATGTTTTATTCCTCTCCCACTGCCTTGAACCTGGGACCCTAGGCGTGGCAGAGCCATAAGCGAAAGAAGCCTGGTCTCTGAATCACTGCGTGAAGGAAAGCCTCCTGCTGACCTAGAATATCTACCTGGATGTTAAATGAGCAAGAAACCAATTTACTGTGTTTGAGCCATTATTTTGGGGAGGGTTCATTACAGCAGTTTAGCCTACTCTAACAACTTGATTTAAAAGAATAGTACACAAAATAAAATAAAGAATGGTACAGATTATGTTTTGCATAAAGGTCTGCCCGGATAGAGTAGTCAAGCCTAGAGAGTGGGATAGGAGACTGTCACCCATAGGCACTTCCTTAACAATTTACAAAAAATTTCTATTGCCAGTAAGGAAAGAAAACAACGGAAGTTAGCAAAATAGTGCTGGTACTAACTTTACTTGTTGTAGGAGTCATTCCTTGACCACCCCAATTGTCACTGAATTTCCTTTCACTCATCTAGCACTCATTTTCCCTAGTTCTTACCTGGAACTTATTGTGGAAATGAAAGAGCAGAGTTGGGAGTCATATAGGGTAGGCCACTCAGGTAGGGCCTCTCAAGACATTAATCCCTTCGGGGGGTCTGACCATCCATGAACAGAACTCTTGCTATGTGCAGAGCTTAGCAGGCTCTCAGACCCAGAGATTCATGCTAACCATGATGTATAACCTCAAATGCGTATGCGTAATTGTGGTGAGCAACAGCCTTTCAGGATCCACTGTCAGGAAGCCCTCTTGCTTATATGAGGGCAACTGGGGAACTAAGTAAATAACCAGAGGGCTGTTCCCTGAACAAGCAATCAGAGAACATGGAGTGGCATACTCATGAAGAACTGACCATCCAGCCTGTGAGTTAATCCAGGAATCAACTCCACAGAGTTACACACTTAATGGCCAAAATCCTTTTAGGAAATTCAGTCTCTCTTCCTTGGAGTGTTGTTATAAGACCACCAAATTCTCTTTAGGCTCCTTTGTAAGCTTTCCACAGCGTTCTTCTGATAAGTAAATAATAGTCAAGTACTGTTTGCTGTCACACTTCTCTGAGTCTACATCCTAGATTCCATGGTTGGACTTGAATGTTCCCAAGTTCTGTCACTTATCCACCAGGTTGATCACTTTAATGTCCATGTACTACTTCTTGGTCATGTGAGGATTAAATGAGTTAAAAGTAGTTTTCAAAAGTTATTTCATATGAACATTATTAATTAGATTATACACCTCATATACAACACCAGACATGCCCTGGTATCTTAAACCTACTACGAACCTGAATGCTTGATGCGGTTTAAGGAGGTGCTGAGATAAACAAGGATGTGGAAGTAGAAGCATCCAAGTGTAGGTACTGCCATTCAAAATCTGCCCGTCCCACGACTGTGTTGTCAACAATGGCAAGACCTGATATTGATTTGAAAGTTAGTTAAAGCTTCATTTCTCTTAAATCTAAAGTGTCCTGCATATTTTGAGATTTAGTAAAGTGCATAATGACTTTATGCATGGCTTTTTTTCCTTGATTTTAAAGATTTTTATAGATGTTTTATTTGGTCTTTTTTTTTTCTCTAGGTTTCCAATGTCTTTGACCTGTTATCATATTTTTCTTCTCCTACTTCAACACCTTCCCCCTTTCTTCTATTTAGTTGTACAGATCATCTCTAGTTCTAGGCCTTTTAAATAATTATTTTTTTAAATTCAGTGACCAAAGATACACAGAATTCTAGCTGAAGGTGCATCTTACCTTTAATTGAAAATAGGATAAGGTTTTCTGTTTTGCTTCCAGTATCCCTTTTAGTGGTGATCCCTTGGTTGATCTTATATTTCAGATCACTGTTAAGCTGGAGTTACAGGCCACTGCTGCTCAAATTTTTACATTTATCAATAGTTTGGCTTTGGATTCAAGCAATATCCAAAATTGTACAAATTAAAGATGGGTCCATGCTGATCTCAATCCAAATCTTTAACACAAATTTCTGCAAATATTAAGATGTCTGTCCTGCCAAGCCAGTGTGGCTCGTGGTTGAGCATCAACCTATATGAACCAGGAGATCATGGTTCGATTCCCGATCAGGGCACATGCCCTTGTTGTGGGCTTGATCCACAGTAGGGGATGTGCAGGAAGCAGCTGATCAATGATTCTCTCTCATCTGATGTTTCTATCTCTCTCTGCCTCTCCCTTCCTCTCTGAAATCAATAAAAATATATTTAAAAAAAGAAAAAAGATGTCTATCCTGTGACCACTTCCCCTCCTCCCCCAACATATGTGTACTTCAGTTTAAGAAGTAGGACCTTAAGGATACAATCTATGGTAACGTTCTGTTCTCTACTGAGCCAAACCGGTTTCGGCAGAGTTGGATTATTTAGTCCTCATCCTAAACATGGCTAAGACGGAAAGACTAGTATTTACACCAAAGATAAAAATTAATGTGTAGTGACCAGTATCCCAGTTCTTTGAAATATGTGAAACCTTAGTGGGGAAATGTTACAGCTTATTGTCAGAATATATCACTAGTTCTTTTTTTGTTTATTTATTTTTTTAAAGAGAAGTCAGTGCCTTCATTGGCTGAACAAGTTACTTGAGGGGGATGAAGCAGGAGTGGGTGTCTCCAGTGCCAGGCCAGCCTTGCTTCATGGGCTTTGTAGGCAATGCAGAACTCGCCCAGGTAGTGCCAATCATCTTGGGCTGGATTCCCACCTGGGTGAAGGTCTTGCCATTGGAGACACCCACCATGCTGTCCACTGTCTCCTGCAGGATGATCTGTCCTGCAGGTGTCTTCACCTTTGCTTCTCTCTCTTGGTTGGCTTTGTACAGGGGCTTCAAATGCTGCTTCGGCCTCTGCTGCCAGGCGCTGTGCAGCTGTGTCACGGTGACAGCTGCTAGGAGGCCATGACCAGCAGCTGGTCAAGGTGCACACCGTGGAAGGTTTGCTTCTGCTCCAGCTCCATGTCCACTATCTTGTTGGTTCTTCAGAGAGGACTGTCTAGTTCTTAAAGTGGTGCAATCAAGAGGGACTCTTTGGGCCCTAGCTGGTTTGGCTCAGTGGATAGAGCATCGGCCTACCGACCGAAGGGTCCCAGGTTCGATTCCGGTCAAGGACACATGTCCAGGTTGTGGGCTCGATCCCCAGTAGGGGGCATGCAAGAGACAGCCGATCCATGATTCTCATCATTGATGTTTGTCTCTCTCTCCCTCTCCCTTCCTCTCTGAAATCAATATATATACTAGAGCAGTGATTCCCAAAGTGGGCGCTACCGCCCCCCAGTGGGCGCTGCAGTGATCCAGGGGGGCGGAGATGGCCACAGGTGCATTTGGGGGCGATGAGTAACTGCTATTAAAATTTTAAAAAAATTAATTTCCAGGGGCTGAGTAATATTTTTTCTGGAAAGGGGGTGGTAGGCCAAATAAGTTTGGGAACCACTGTACTAGAAGCCCGGTGCATGAAATTCATGCACTGAGGGTGGAGGGGTCCCTCAGCCAGGCCTACCCCCTCTCATAGTCCAGGAGCCCTCGCTCCTTACCACCTGCCTGCTCGCTGCTCCTTACTGCTCAGCTCGCTGCTCCTTAGCACTGCCGCGGAGGCAGAAGAGGCTCCTGCCACTGCCGCTGCGCTCGCCAGCCCTGAGCCCGGCTTCTGGCTGAGCGGTGCTCCCCCTGTGGGAGCACACTGACCACCAGGGGGCAGCTCCTGCATTGAGTGTCTGCCCCCTGGTGGTCAGTGCACATCATAGCAACTGGTCGTTCTGGTCGTTGCGCCGTAAGGGTTGCTTAGGCTTTTATTATATAGATTAAAGGGGGACTCTTTGGGATACAACTGCATACTCAAGAATACAAACTTTGGGAACAGATGGCCTGGATTTGTTCCTGATTCTGGCACTTAGCAGCTGTGTGACCTTGAGACCTAGTTTATTTTTTATTTATTTATATATATTTTTAAAATATATTTTGTTGAATTTTTTTAATTGATTTTTTTTTTTTTTTTTTTACAGAGAGGAAGGGAGAGGGATAGAGAGTTAGAAACATCGATGAGAGAGAAACATCGATCAGCTGCCTCTTGCACACCCCCTACTGGGGATATGCCCGAAACCAAGGTACATGCCCTTGGCCGGAATCGAACCTGGGACCCTTCAGTCCGCAGGCTGACGCTCTATCCACTGAGCCAAACCGGTCAGGGCGAGACCTAGTTTATAATGTGAAAATTTCTGTATGTGCATTCTTGTCCTAAATTCACTTTCTTTAAATCCTGTTGGCATTTTACTTCCATGCTATAACTCTGGAATAGAGGTTTAATTGCTCCAAATTTCGTGATTGTTAATGTCAGTTAACATTTCTGGGTTTCACTTTCCAAAACCTCTTCTTCATCTGCAAAATGGTGTTCCTGATGGAATCTACCCCACAGGATTGCTAGGAGGTCATCCTGACAGTCATGTTACATTTTGAATTTTACTGAGACAAAATGAGGTTGTGTACTTTGTCACAAGTTATTATTTGTGGCCCAGGCCAGGAAGAGTTGGAATACCATTTCCAATTAATCTTATCATCCTCCACTTGTTTCTAGGCTGCCACCTAAAGGACTTTGGAGATTTGAGTTTCACTCCAGTCCCCAAAGATGATCTGTACAACAACCTGATAGCAAATCCTCGCTCGGTGGGCCTCGCCAACCAGGAACTGGCTGAGGTAGTTAGTAGAGCAGTATCAGGTGGCTACAGCTGTGTCACAGTGGGAGGAGACCACAGGTAAGTTGGGAGCCAGTGGTGGTGGTGGGGCTACATTGCATGGTGTTTTGGACTAATCAATTAGCTTGCCTCAGTTTCCTGAGTAAACTACCCTTCAGAATTTTTGGAAAAAAATTAATAAGCAGAAACTCATATGAAATAGGCCAGAAGTAAAAGGTGTCATGCCCTATCAGTTGATCTTGAAGCACAGCAGGAGGAACTCTTTGTAACAGCCCTCCCAACTTCTTTCCCCCTCTATAAAAGAATTCCCTCTCCTTTGTTTTAGTAAACTTGCATGTGGTCAGCCACAGTTACATGTTCGGGGTTACAATTCTGTTGTTCCTAAAGAAACCCGTTTTCCTGGGGGAAAATCTGGCTGACTTTTAAAGTTAATGCATAACAGCATTTTTTAAAAATAAACATTTATTTATTTATTTTTATTTATTTTTTTGTGTGAATCCTCACCCAAGGATATTTTTTTCCATTTATTTTTAGAGAGAGTGAAGAGAGGAGGAGAGACAGAGAGAGAGAAACATCAATGTGAGAGAGACCCATTGATTGGTTGCCTCCCACGCATGCCCTGACCAGGCCACATGCCCTGACCAGGGCTGGGGATCAAGCACGCAACCAAGGTACCTGCCCTTGACCGGAATCAAACCCGGAATCAAGTCCTCAGGCTGACGCTCTATCCACTGAGCAAAACCAGCTAGGGCCATAATAGCATTTTGATGTCGAAGATTATGAGCTGCTGGAGGCACATGTAGTTTTTTTATATAGTAGGACAAGTTCAGAAGTAAACTAAGCAAAGCTTTTAGACACAGTCCAGTGTTTCATGCTTATCTCTTAGAAAGCTTTCTTAAGAAACTGTCTTACAACTTTCATTTGGCTATTGGGAGGATTGGAAGGATAGGCTGGACTTTTTGGGTCTTTTTTTTTTAAGCATTTCTACTCATAGGTTTGTTCCAAATTCCCCACTTGTCATATGAATGCATTCTCTATCTCCACAGTAACTGACCCTAGGTGACTGACACAATAGATTCTTCCTCTCTTAGTGAATCAGCATGTACTGTATTGAACACTGTTCTGATGTGTTCTCAAGGGATTGTGGGAAACTTGTGACCTATTGGGCCTAGATGAAAAAAGTACGCATGGAATGAAAGAAATTAAATTCTACAGAATTTCAGAGATCAGTCTGGACTAGAGTAGTCAGATTTCACAGGGGAGCTAAGAAATGAAAGTTTTTGTTAGAAAAAAAAATGTTGGTATTAAAGTACTAGGAGTATTAAGCACTGCATATATATTCTCAGATAATCATTTGTTATTCCCCAGGATATTTTATATTTTTCCACTGACTTTTAGGGAAGGAGGGAGGAACCGGGGGGGGGGGGAGTGGGGGGGGTAGGGCATGAATGTGAGAGAGACTCATCAATTGGTAGCCTCCTGCATGCATCCTGATGGGGGCAGGGCAGGCGGGGGCGGGGGATCGAACCTGCAACCCAGGTATGTGCCCTTGACCAGGAATGGAACCTGAGACCCTTTGGTGCACAAGGCCGATGCTCTGACCCTCTAACAACTGAGCAACACAGGCCAGAGCGAGGACTAGGAAATTTTAGGGTCACTCTGCTCCTTTTATATACAACATACAGTATGGACTTAATCATTAAACCAACTCTGACTTAAACAAACTGAGATTAGTATCCCTGCCTTTTATTTTTATTTTTTAATATATTTTTATTTTTTACAGAGAGGAAGGGAAAGGGATAGAGAGTTAGAAACATCGATGAGAGAGAAACATCGATCAGCTGCCTCCTGCACACCCCCTACTGGGGATGTGCCCGCAACCAAGGTACATGCCCTTGACCAGAATCGAACCTGGGACCCTTCAGTCTGCAGGCCGAAGCTCTATCCACTGAGCCAAACCGGTTAGGGCAGTATCCCTGCCTTTTAGAAAAGGAAAGTGAAGTCTAGAGAAATTAGATGACTTATCCTAGATCATACACCTCTTCCTGGGGGGTGGAGGAGGGGAACAACACAGCATTCTGACTTAATCCACTGCTTTTAGCACTAGACCATGCTATTCCTCAAAAAGGCCCTGTGTGGGGCATGCAGGTTAAAATGCTATCACATGCTATCCTGACCAAGGATGACTGCAGTTAGTTCCTAAGATGCTTAAGTTGCATTTCCCATCTATGTCAAATTCTTTGGTTACAGAAGATGGGAAGCTTTCCAACCACTATTTCATCCGCTATATTTTTACAGCTGAGACAGGACAGTGGGCTAATGTAAGAAGATACCAAGGATAAGGAAAGGCAAAAACAGAAACAATATTTGAATGTTATACTAATGTATATAACAGGCAAATAAACTTGTATTTTATTCAGTGCTCTAAAAGAGGTCTTTAATTGGGTTGCTCTGTTACTTTAAAGACTTAACTTTGATTTTTCATTTTAGAAAGTATCACTTATTTTTAAAGCTATAAGGCTTTTACCCTTAAAAAGTTAATGTAACTATTTCTTTGAAAGTGATTAGATCTCCCTGGTTTCCCTTAAAGAGGCATTTATGAATTGTTACATATAGACCACATCCTTTAACTGGATTTCCTTCTTGAACAAATTAAGGTCCCTTTCTGGGTCAAGGCTAATGGATCAAATTTTAGGGATTTGGGGCAGTCTGTCACACTGCAGGGGATAACCAGTGGTCAGCTTTGAACGTTTAGAGCCTTCCATTTCTCCCTATCCAACTCACTTAACCTCAGCCCTGTAGATTCTGTCTCATCCAAATCCTGCTTTAGTCTGGGGCCCTGACTTTGCCCCGAGGACAAAGTATGAGCTGCATTGGCTGATATTTGTTATTGGTGATGTTTGCCAAGCAGAGGGCCTTGAAAATTACTGGAGACTGGTGACCCTTGAACAACTCAGGGGTTAAGGGCACCAGCCCCCCTGCACAGTTGAAAATCCAAATACGACGTTTGACTCACCAAAAACTTAAGTTGTCCCTTGGTATCTGCAAAGGATTGGCTCCAAGTCCCTCCCGCCAATACCAAAATCAGTGGATACTCAAGTCCCTTATCTAAAATGGTATAGATCAATGCATATAGTTGACCCTCTGCATCCAGATTTCCAATCGTGGATTGAAAATAGTTATGGTATTTATTTGCCCTGGCCTGTTTGTTTCAGTGGTTAGAGCGTCGACCCGTGGACTGAAGGGTCTTGGGTTTGATTCTGGTCAAGGGCACATGCCTCAGTTGCAGACTTGATCCCTGGCCCTGGTTGGGGCACATGCGGAAGGCAACCAATCCATGTGTCTCTCTCTCTCCCCCACCCCCTCCCTTCTACTCTCTGGAAAATCAATGGAAAAAAGACCCTGAGGTAAGGATGTTTAACAAAACAAACAGTAACAGGTATTTATTGAAAGAAATCCATGTAGTTCAAACCTGTTGTTCAAGGGTCATCTATATTTGTTCTTTACAGCTTGGCAATTGGTACCATCAGTGGCCACGCCCGGCACTGCCCAGACCTTTGTGTGATCTGGGTTGATGCCCACGCTGACATCAATACACCCCTCACCACTTCATCTGGATGTCTCCATGGACAGCCGGTTTCATTTCTCCTCCGAGAACTACAGGACAAGGTCAGTAGGCCAAGATGAAAAGAAAGTCGAATGGCTTGCAGGGGCTTTGAGGGTCCAGTTCAGTAAGATTTCTGTGAAGGATGGGTTGCCAGTGGTAGAAATGCTTACAACTCCTTCATTTGTTCATCAAACATTATTATGGGCCAGGCAGTCTGTTAGATGCTAGGAATATAAACATGACTAGGGATATAAAGATGGTCCTGCTCTTGGGGGTTCATAATCATCTAAGAAAGGAAGGTGGTACTGGGTAACTCTAGTGATTGATACACCCATAGCTTGAGGACTTCTTGGTTACAGGCTCCCAGGCCTCACTATCAGATGCATTGGTATAGAATCCAAGTAAAACCATGATTACCTCTAGGTAATATTTTTCTAGGCTGTTCAAAAGACACTGGAGTCTAGGCATAGACTAAAATCTGTTTATCCCTCCCCTCAGTGAGGGGCCAAGTTAAACCAGGAATAACAACGGTTATTCATTAGGCAGAATTCATGTTTTGGCTGTTGGCAACTTGAGATGACAACTGGGTTATGTTCCAAGAACCAATCTGTAAATAATTCAGTAATATGAAAAGGGCTAATCAGCAGTATTCCTGCTATTTAGGTAAGTTAATGAGAAACCAAGACCACCTTAGGAGAAAAGATTTTTATTCTGCTTGAGAATGCTATACTGTGTTCTTCAGTTGCCTTTCTAAATCATTTCCACTTGTATCAATTTTCTTTCCCAGATCAAGTGTGTCTTGTGTTGCTTAAGCATATCTTGTAGATGGATGACAAAGCAAACTGCATATAATGGGAAGCACATGGTGATTATCTTGTCGAGACCAAAAATCCTTGATGAATCCTGTTCATTCCTCTCTACATAGGTGCCACAGCTCCCAGGATTTTCCTGGATCAAACCTTGTATCTCTCCCCCAAGTATTGTGTATATTGGTCTAAGAGATGTGGACCCTCCTGAACAGTAAGTTGAGATACAGGGTTATAAACTTTGGGCCCATCCTGGCCATTTACGTTCCATTTGATATGTTGTTCCTTGCCTTAACTTGTTGTAGACCACTGTACAGACAAAACCCCATCTAAATGTGCATTTAACTTGCTATTTAAACTAACGATTCCTTCCTTTATATCTCATTACAGTTTTATTTTAAAGAATTATGATATCCAGTATTTTTCCATGAGAGACATAGATAGACTTGGTATCCAGAAGGTCATGGAACAGACATTCGATCTGCTGATTGGCAAGTAAGTAACTACAACAGATGTCTACTCTAGGTTCCCAGGGTAATACAGCAGCTCCCAGGGGGCAGCATACTTTAGCTTTTCTCTTGAGGATAGTAGCTTTTCTTTCAAATAAAAGCAAAACATGTACGTTTAAAAATTTCAAATAATTTAGAAAGGGAGAATATGAAACATAGGTCATATTCTTCCTCTGGGGTTGCGAGGGGGTTTCCTTGAAATCATTGCCCAGATTCTCTCTCTCATGAATTTATCTTTAGCTCCATTTAATTGCTTATCTTTTGAGATGAGAAGCATTCATTGTTCTAATTATCCCATTCTTCTTAGCCTCGCTATTTCTTCATCTGAAAGTTTTTTTGTTTTGTTTTAATCCTCATCTGAGGATATGCTCTTTCAATTTATTTTAGAGAGAGGAAGGGGGGAGGGAAAGGAAGAGAGAGAAACAGAAACATTGATGTGAGAAACGTCGATCAGTTGCCTCCTGTACATACCCCAACTGGTGATCAAACCCAAAACCTGGGTATGTACCCTGACCGGGAATCAAACCTGTGACCTTTCAGTGTACAGGATGATGCTCCAACCAAGCCACACTGGCCCGGGCCAACTAAAAGAAGTTTTATAATAAGCAAAACTTGGTAGTGAATAAAGATGGCAGGTGAATGCTAACCCAAATGCTAGTTTTAAGAGCATTTTCTCAGTGCTGAGTCTTTATAACTGCCATCTACTAAGAAATTTAGTTGTTTAGCATATAGGTGTTATATGTTAGTTTCAGTCATTGGACACCTCGGATAAATTAAAGTTAGAATTGGGAGATGATAAGATTGCAGATCTAGCCCTGGCCATTGTGGCTCAGTTGGTTGAGCATTGTCCCATGTGCCAAGAGGTCACCAATTCAACTCCCAGTCAGGACACATGCCCAGGTTGTGGGCTTGATCCCCAGTAGGGGGAGCGCAGGAGGCAGCTGACTGATGTTTCTCTTTCTCTCCCTTCCCCTATCCTTCCTCTCTCTAAAATTAATAAAAACATAATTTAAAAAAAGATTTCAAATCTTAAGTCAGAGTTAAGTTCAGCTGCTGTTACACTCTGAGAGAATAAAAGCAAATGTAATACAAATGAAATTAGAATCTATCAGGGCCCAAGGTCATATGAAAGTGAAGAATTCCCTCTACTGACAATTGTTAATGTAAGAGGCTTTAATTTAATGTTCAGGGTAAGTCAGAAATATAAACTGGATTTAGTCTGAGGCACACAGAACATGGAAAAATTATGAAATGGAGTATAAACCCTAATAGGCAAATACTCTAGTAACTTCTAAAATAGAAAACCTGGAAATCTGATGCATTAACAAAATACCAGGACTAACAGCAACAAAATCAGGAAGTTGCATCTGCAGGGAGCATGAATGTTCAGGCACAAATGACTATTCTCTTATCCTTCTCCTTTCAAGAAGACAAAGGCCAATCCATCTGAGCTTTGATATTGATGCATTTGACCCTACACTGGCTCCAGCCACAGGAACTCCTGTAGTAGGGGGACTGACCTATCGAGAAGGCATGTATATTACTGAGGAAATACACAACACAGGTAAGTAGTGATTAACCTGTTCACTACATAGGTAATTATGGTGAAGCCTCTTGTCTGCCAGGGGAATCTTTTCTATTATTCATGTCATTGTAGACATTGTTTTTGCCTAACCTGGTTATTGCTAAAAGTCATGTGGTCAGGCTAATAAGGGATAGTCATTTAGAGGCATGTTTGCATCTGGCTCATACCAAAATATGATAATACTGAATAAAAAGTTGTCTTCTTAAACATTTATTAGACACAAGAATAACCTGCCAAACTAATGCAGTTCTTTGCATCTGAACTGTCCAAAGGCAGATTAAGATTAAAACTCAACACTAGCTATAATTTTTACCTTAAATTAAGAAGTTGGTTCGCCTGGAATTGGGAATGTGGAGTTAAAGCTTCTCTTGGAGATATTTCAAAGCTACATGTAGGGCAAGTCTTATACTGGAGCTTATTTAATAGGAGCTTTAATACAGGAATAGTGGAAAATGAATGGGTGACAGAAGATTAATAAAATGAATGCTAGGTTATCGAGAGTGGCTACCAAGGAGTTGCTGTCCCTAAACTCATATTTGTTTACAAACAGTTTCTTTCTTTGAAAAATAAAATTTTTTTTGTTTTGTTAATCCTCACCTGAGAATATTTTTTTCCATTGCTTTTCAGAGTAGAAGGGAGGGAGGGAGAGGGAGAAAGAGAAACATTGATGTGAGAGAGACACATCGATTAGTTGCCTCCTATGCGCATCCCAAAGGGGGGTTGAGGGAATCAAACCTGCAGCCCAGGTACATGCCCTTGACTAGGAATTGAACCTGAGACCCTTTGGTGCGCAGGCTGATGCCCTAACCACTGAGCAAGTCAGGGTAGCTGTTTCCATTTGTCTGAAAGCTTCTTAGTTTTAAGGCTACTTTAAATGACCTTTAATTGCAAAATTTAAACTTCCGCAGGATACTTCAATATCATTTCATGAAATTAGGGTCTAAACAGCATAAAGACCCCAGACTGAAAGGTCCAGCCAGGGCTATAGGAAACCCTTGACCAGCTGGGATAGATGTGGAAATTGAGAAATGGTCTTCCTGGCTCTGGAGCCAACTAGATTCTTAGGCACTACAGAAAGGAAAATAATGCTTATCTATCAGATCTGACAGAAGCAAGGTAGTCTCATTCTCAGGCCCACAATCTTAGGCGTTAATCGTCCTTGGGTTGGTGGCAAGTGAACCTGGGAGTTCAATCCTCCATTTTGGTTCCCAGTGACACCACCAGAGCCAGGGCTTAGTAACAGCTAGTACTTATAAGGGGGGGTGGTCATACCTTGACCCTCTCTCTCCTGTTGCAATGTTACTCTATTCTAAACGACTGTCTATCATGACACTGTCAATTAGACACATAAAATAGTTTGCTTAAATAATTTACAGGGTGGCAATAATATAAAACCATGGGTAATATATATATTTTTAAGAGCTCAAACCCTTTTGATTACTTCTGGGCTCTGCTGAAGGCCCAGCTTTAGTCGGTGGAATTCAGACACACAAATTATCAGAGATGCAGATGCATGTGCAGGAATTGGTAGAAGTGGTACCGAAGTTTTGCACAGTGCACTGAACTATGCATTAACAAGGGACGGCACACTGAACAGATGTCCTGGCAATGAGCATATCATCCTATATAATAAAAGTCTAATATGCTAAGTGTCCAGTTGTCCGGTCAGCCGTTCAACCAACCAAAGCGTAATATGTTAATGATATGCTAAGGCCGCTCAACTGCTTGCTATGATGTGCACTGACCATGAGGGGGCAGACGCTCTGACTGGTAGATCAGCTTGCTGCTGGAGTCTGGCTGATCCAGACTGAGCGAGAAAGGGCTGAACACGCCCTGGAGCCCTCCCGCTGTCCCTCCCTGGCTGGCCAACCTCCCGCATCCCTCCCTGGCCTCAATTGTGCACCGGTGGGGTCCCTCAGCCTGGCCTGTGCCCTCTCGCAATCTGGCACCCCTTGGGGGATGTCAGAGAGCTGGTTTTGGCCCAATCCCGCAGGCCAGGCTGAGGGACCCCACTGGTACATGAATTCGTGCACCTGGCCTCTAGTGTACTATAATGTAATACCAATAAACCATTAGCAATATTCACTCATGTTTCCAGGTTTTATGGCCACTCTAAATATTCTCAGATACTTGTATTCTCGAATACTAGTTTGTTCAGATAAATCTTGAAAAGGTAGATTAACTTCACTCAGAATACCCAACTAAAAAGTTAACTACCCCAGAGAAGTGGGGGTGAGGGAGTTGGGGGGGAAATAAATGTGGAATCTGCCCTCAGAGCTCAGACCTGCAGAAGCGAGAGTAAGATCTGCAGTAGTAACTATACTTCAGGGCACGTGGTGCCTTAAGTATGTGGATACAGCATCAGAGTCAAAAGTGGGAATAGAATTTTGGCTACATGCAGGCAGGCATCTGGAAAGTTCCTTAATATTGGAAATGGCACATATTTTCTCAACAAGTAGGTTGGGAACTCCTTGACCCACAGCCCCCCAAGCTCTTTCTTTATTCTCTTCACAAAGCCTGACATCTATGCCTTGTATGTCAGTTAAAGAGGGATGATTGCTTTTATTACCTTAAAGGTTTCTTTCAATTCTACTCTAATACAGCAGTGGTTGGGTGCTTTGTTGTTTTGTGTTTTTTTTGTTAATCCTCACTAGAAGATATTTTTTCCCCATTGATTTTAGAGAGAATGGGAAGGCAGAAGGGGGAGAGAGAAACTCGATGTGAGAGAGTCACATGAATTGGTTGCCTCCCCCACCAGCCAGGGTAGGGAACCTGCAACCCAGATAGATGCCCTTGATCAGAATTGAACCTGTGACACTTTGGTTCACAGGCCGATGCTCTAACCACCAAGCACGCTGGTCAGGGCTGTTGTTGTGTGTGTGTGTGTGTGAGCGCGTTTTTATTGATTTGAGAAAGGAAGAAACCGATCAGCTGCCTCCTGCATGCCCCCTATTGGGGATTGAGCCTGCAACTTGGGCATGTGCCCTGATGGGGAATTGAACTGATGAACTCTTGGTGCATGGGACAATGCCCAACCACACTGGCCAGGGCAATATAACAGTGTTTTAATAAATTCAGGCCCAAGAGAATGAGGTATAAGGGGCTTCCTGACAGTGGATGTTATAGTAGAAAATGGTTGGTTTTTTACCTTGGTTTATTCTGTCCAGGTGGTACGACCCTCACTGAAAGCAGCAGCTAAGGGATTTTCTGAGGTTTTGTCACACTTTGTTCTTTTAGGGTTGCTGTCAGCACTGGATCTCGTTGAAGTTAATCCTCAGTTGGCTGCCTCAGACGAAGAAGCCAAGGCTACAGCTGGCCTGGCAGTGGATGTGATTGCTTCAAGTTTTGGTCAGACAAGGGAAGGAGGGCACAATGTCTATGACCAACTTCCTACTCCCAGTTCACCACATGAATCAGAAAATGAAGAACGTGTGAGAATTTAGGAAATACTGTATGCTGACATGTTCGTCACAATGGGCATTCCAGAGTTGTGAAGTTTTTGAGGGGGCAGATACTACATGGTCATCTGGGTCAATACTGCCTTAATGAGAACATTTGCGTATTCTCACAATTGTAAAATTTCCTTTCCCCCTCCATTTTGGTGACCAATGATACTACTGTAAATGTATTTGTGGGTTTTTGGGGGTTTTTTTTTTGCAATTCACAGGGTATTAATATGTTGGAGTACCATGTAAATTTAAAGAAGTCATAAACAGCATTTATTACCTTGGTATATCACACTGGTCTTGTTGCTGTTTCTTCACATTAACTGGTTTTCCATCTTCCCTCCCTCTTCCCACAGTCTGGCTACACAGTGCATCCTTGAACCGTTAGCTCACAGCAGCAATACACTTATTCCACATCTGTAACACTATTCATTCTCAGGGTCAAAGTTCTGGTCCACAAACCCTTCCGTGCAGGAAGTTCAATGCTTGCGAAAGAATTTGTAATAAACCAGGCCTCCCAGGATGGCTAACTCCAGTAAGATGACAATGGAAAGTAGCAGCTTGTTGGTTGTCACTCTACAAACACAAACAAGTGAGCAGTCAGAAGTCTGGATAACCTTATTTCTTTCCATTCTTTTTTTTAAAATATATTTTTTATTTCAGAGAGGAAGGGATAGGGAGAGAGAAATAGAAACATCAATGACGAGAGAGAATCATTTATCAGCTGCCTCCTGCACGCCCCACACTGGGGATCTAAGCCCACAACCCAGGCATGTGCTCTGACCAGGAATCGAACTGTGACCTCCTGGTTCATAGCTCAACCACTGAGCCATGCCAGCTGGGCTCTTTCCATTCTCAATACATTAAAGTTTGACTTGGGACCAAGGCTAGACACTGGGAGGTAGACTGAATTTTTTGTTTGATCTCATAGCCACTTAGCAATAAGTATACACAGGCATACCACAAAAATATTGCGGGTTTGATTCCAGACCACTGCAATAAAGTGAATACAGTAACAAAGCAAGTCACATAAATTTTTTTTGTTTCCCGATGCATATAAGTTATGTTTACACTAGACTATAGGCTATTAAGTGTGCAATAGCATTATGTCTAAAAAAAAACACACAACACATGCATACCTTAATTTAAAAATGAGCTTATTGGAAAATGGCACTGATAAATTGCTTGACACAAACCTTCAATTTGTAAAAAACAAAAACAAACGCAATGTCTGCAAAGCGCAATAACTCAAGGTATGCCAGTATAAGGTTCTTTAGCTGGTTAAGTGACAACTCGAAAGCTTCTTTAGCTATCACAGAGAAAAAAACCTATCTACCTCCCAGAAATGTTGAAAACTGGGACAATATATATCAAAGGTATAAATGGTTTTTTATTCTAAAATGTCTTCAAATAGTAGTTACTTCCTCACTTTATTTTTTTAAAACCTCACCTGAGGACATGTTTTTATTGACTTGAGAGAGGAAGGGGGAGAGAGAAACATCAATGTGAGAGGTTGCCTCCCATAACGCAACCCAACCAGGGATCAAACCATGCAACCTTTTGGTGTACAGGATGATGCTCCAACCAACCAAGCCACTCGACCAGGGCTGCTACTTCACTTTAGAACTAGCTTTTCTAGGAGGGTCTAGTTAGGAAAATAGTATTAAATATAATATGAAAAAAATACCTATTCTGAAATCCGGTTGAATCATATTACAAAATTAGCAGTAATATAGTATCATCTAATCATATAGAGCCGTATCAGTTACATACTACAGTTGTGAGCATGTTAGAGAAGTATTTGTGGCAGACTCGCCAGGGCTGACGTGCAGCTTGGGGACAGGTGCTAAGTAACCAGAAGTTGGGTAGTACCTCTCTTACTTTCTCTTTCCCCCAGGATTTCTCTACAAAGGCAATATAGGAGCTTCAAAGAAAAATCTGTCTTTTGTTAATACAAAGAATCCAATCTCTGGTTCTCATGTTCACTCTAAACTGAAGGTTTCCCCCTATTCCATAAGGAATTTACAACTGTTTAGGAAAATCTCACTCTCCTGATAATTCCATGACTCAATTGTGATTTTGACCCATGCATACTACCACTTACCCCAAATTCATTTTGTTGTCAGCACTTACATCAAGGATTTTTTAAAAAACAACTTTTTGCTAACAAGACAGAATTCCCAGGTAAGGGATTGACTCTGACGAAGAGCAAGCAGAGCCAAAAGCAAGTATTAAGCAGTAGCAGTGAAAATAGTTTTTTAATCAAGTTTTTACGAATATGAAGCTGTATTACTCCCATGTGCTGTTTTCTCTAAGGAATGTAAGCTGGGAATAAAAGTACTTTCAGTGGCCCAGCCAGTGTGGCTCAGTGGTTGAGTGTCAACCTATGAACCAGGTGTTCACAGTTTGATGCCTGGTTGCCGGCTACAGGGCATGCAGGAGGCAGCGGATCAATGACTCTCATCATTTATGTTTCTCTCTCCCTTTCATATATATATATGCTTTCAGTGGACAAATTTTACACGGTTCCAAATCAGAGCAGCATATACTTTTAACAAAAGATTCTGTCTTGGGATATTTAACTACACAAGACAATATTCTTTATTTCTTCAGCTTTATTAGAACCTTTGCAAGTCACAGTTTAAAGCTTTTACACTCTTGGTTGAAAGGCATGAGAGTTAAGAGAAATTAATTTTGTGACTATTTCTGAAACTTACTTTCTGGACATTGACCGGAGAATCTTTCGACTTTTGCTCAAGTTTTCATTTGTGTTTACGAGCTGAGAAGAGAAAATAGCAATTATTTTCCCCTTCTTTCAAAAGTATACACTCTAGAATTTGAATATTCCTAAACTGACAGTGGGCATTAAGAAGGATATGTTGAAATCAAACCAATTTAAAAGATGGCCTCTGAGTATAATTAGAAGAAACTGGAGAGGACAAGATACTTTAGTACTTGTCAAGTAGGTTTAGGAATTATATCTATCCCAAGGCTGTGTGAGGGACTTCTGGGACAAGAGCTCATGCCTGGCTACTCAAAACAGAAAGGCTTCAAGTGTACACCTTGCCAGTAACTGAAGCAATTTAAGATTTGAATTTCACCAGTCTAACTCCAGGAGAGCCTCTTGAGTTACAGTTTGTTTTCATAGGCTGGTGGATTACCATTCTTGGAGTATGGTTATTTTTTCTTTATCCCTTTAAGAGATACTTACATTGAATTGTGAAAGGAATTAAGCCTTTTTTAAAAAACAAAACAAAACAAAAACAAACCCTTTCCCTCTTGCTTGCCTGGTACTAATCTAACAGCTGGAGGATATTTCAACAGATGCCACCTGCCATCTGTCTCCAATCCCCAGTGGCCTTGGTAAGTTGATCTCTCGGGCCATTCCTTGGCTTTTGAATTCAGCCAATTCACCTGGTATGTACAAAAGTAAAAAATCAAAACAGTCTGTAAGCAAGCTACCTTTTCTAGAGTTTACCTTAAATTTAATACTTTATTGTGAATTTTCACAGAGGGAAGGGCATCATTCTGACTCATTTTAAGAATGGAGAATTACAGCTATTAAGATATATGAGAAAATTATCTCAAACCCCCACACTGAACCATATTTTGCCATTTAAGTCTTGCCCACAGTATCTGTTTTTTAGTCTGGATTTGCCTCATGCTATTAAGGGCACAGCATTCCATTGGCAAGTTGTACTATTTTCAAAATTTCCATGCAGATGTATGGAAAGGAATGTTAGTTTTCAGAGCCTTTTAGAGTGATAGATTAGAGGCCCCAATACAGCCATCATTGGCCTATTTCCATTTGCTTCCCACAAGTATCCAGCTTACCTCAGGTAACAGTACAGACTTACAGTCCAGGATTGAACCTCTATAAATTGTCAGTGGTACTATTTTATGACATGTGGAAAATAGCCTTGGTTCTAAATGACAGGAAAGCTAGGATCTTGTCAGATGATACTTTCATAAGAATAGCAGAATATCCCACTAGATGTAAGAGAAATCAAAACCTCAGAGTGGTAATACAGGAATAAAAGGATGGAGTGACTGCAATCTTATGTTTATTTGACAGTCTTCAATAAATGCAGAAATCCAAGTTTCTTCAGTCTTTCTTTTTCCCCCTCCAATGATCTCTAAATCTTAGAGTTAAAATTACTTCCAAGCGAGATCTCTCAGCCATGCAAACTAGAAACTGAGAAAAGCATAAGGCCCTAAAAGGCCATTTACTCTGAATTCAGAATTGCTGAAGCTCTGGGGAGGAGCATGCCATCAGGGTTTAATGGGCCCACCTACTTTACCCACTCTTGCCCCTTTCCTCATTCGCCCACACTTACTCTACTTTTGGTACGTTCCAACTGGTCACGTTGCTCCCCCAGCTCTTCTATAATTTCCGAGCCAATCTGGTCAGTTTCTGTGGCAATCCGATGAGAACGCTCAATACTCTGGGTGGCCCGGTTCAGGCTGTCAGTGCCTTGCAAAAGCAATACCCTCTGAGACTGTAGCTGATTCTGACAGGATTATGAAAGAGAAATGTTAAAGTTCTTCCACTATACAGTAATTGCCAACACAATCCTTATGACCACTCTTATGTAAGAAGGGATATAGTGTGCAATAATTTTCATTATTTTTTAAAATAAATTTTTATTGATTTTAGAGAGAGAGGAAGGGAGAGAAACACCGATGAGAGAAAAACAGCAATTGGCTCTCTCCTGCATGCCCCCTACTGGGGCTAGAGCTGAAACCTGGGCATGTGCCCTGACCAGGAATCGAACCAGTGACTTCTTGGTGTAGAGGACACTCAACCAACTGAGTCACATTGGCCAGGACTAATTTTCATTACTATTATTTTTTAAATATATTTTTATTGTTTGGCTGCCTCCATGCCACCTACTGGGGATTGAGCCCAAAACCCGGGCATGTGCCCTGACTAGGAATCAAACAGTGACTTCCTGGTTCATAGGTTGACACTCAACCCGTGAGCCACGCTGGCTAGGCTAATTTTCTTTAAGACATACAAGGATGGTAATGAACTCTAAGATCCTTTTCAAGGTCAGACTAAAGCAGAACTTGGAATCCAATCAGGATCACAATACCTCTCACTGCACTGCTTGTTACACTTAAGCGAGGCAAGGTAAGGAGGCTTAAAAACATCAGAGCATTTTCCCTTGTTTGTAATGAATCTGAACTGGTTCATGTGCTTCCTGAACTAGCAACTTCTGAGAAGCAGTGGCCCAGATTTGGGGTGCAGGAGCTACCTGAAAATGATAGCTTATAACTGATGGGCAGCAAACAAGCCAACTAAACTCTACAGCCCTAGAACATATTAATTCACTGAAGATTCCTACCTGATTGATACTGAGGATTAAGGGACCATGCATAAGCTAATCATTTTCAGTACATACAGAAATCAATTAGCAGTCTGGGTGGGACACTGCCACATTCTGGAAGAAAAAACTTAAGTGGCCACACTCTTGGTAAGCCCCCAAAGAATTTCACTTCAAGACAAACAGAAAACAAAAACTTAAGTGGCCACACTGGTGATTTGCTCTCAGGGAAGAAGGTATTTAGGGCCGAGTAAGATGGCCTAGCTGCCCTAATTTCCCAAGTGCCCTAATTTTCTAAATCCCCACCAAAGTTTTACTCCACCTATAATCCTAAGCACAGAAGACATGAGGAAAGAAGTAGCCTCAGAATTAACCACTGACAGAAATGGGTGTAGCTCTAGTTCTTAGCTATGGCCAGGTAGCTCAGTTGGTTAGAGCATCGTCCCAAATACGCCAAGGTTTTGGGTTTAATCCTGGTCAGGGCACATACAGGGTCAACCAATGAATGCCTAAATATGTGGAACAATGGATAGATCTCTCTCTCTCAAAACTATAAATACAATATTCAATTACTAAACATATTAAAATTAAAAATATTATTTTAAAATAAACATTTTTAAAAGCATACATGTACACACACACACACACATTAAAAAAGGGGCCAGTTCACAGGGCCTATTACTGAGCACTAGACACCACCATCAAGAAGTCAAAAATGGGCCCTGGTTGGTGTGGCTCCGTTGGAGCATCGTCCCGTAAACCAAAAGGTCATGGGTTCAATTCCCAGTCAGGGCACATACCTAGCTTGCAGACTCAATCCACAGGAGGCAATCAGTTGATGTTTCTCTCTCACATCGATGTCCTTCCTCCCACCCTCTCTAATCTATAAACATTTAAAAAAAAAAAAAAAAGGGGCAGCCAAAAACAGGTTCCCAGATCAGAAGTAACAAGAATTCCTCATACATGTTATATGGACCAGTGGATGAGGAAACTACTGAATGAGGTTGAACTAAACCCCACCTACTTTAGCTTAAACGAAGCAGGAATAACGCTTTTTAAAAATAAAAGATGGGGGTTTTCAACTGATTAGGTTGAGAAAGAACAGGAAAAGATAGTAAGATTACATAAATCAATCTCAGATTTGGAATAATAATTCTATTGAAAGTGGCATATATCTAAGTTGTGTTTCTAATTTCTGAAACTGATCATTTTAAAGCAAAATTACTCTCTAGACTGATCTCCCCCTTTTTTGTTTTGGGTGTGTGTGTGTGTGTGTGTGTGTGTGTGTGTGTGTGTAATAAATGACCAAAGTCACTTTCACCTCTCATCTCTAACACAGTGGTTCTCAACCTTGGCTGCACATTAGAATCATCTGGGAATCTTTTTAAAATCCTGATTTCTGGGCCTCATCCTCCGAAGATTTTAAAAAGATTCCCAGGTGATTCTAATGTGCAGCCAAGGTTGAGAACCACTGCTCTAACAAGCTCCACCTGCCTTGCCTGGCTTTTCCCAGTCCCTCCCTTCACAAGTGAACTTTGAAATTTTACACCATTCTCAAATACTCTAGTTTTGACATCAGCAATGTCAGGCTAGCAGCATCTGAACATCTCTTCAACTATAATAAGAATGCATCATGAAATGGGGTTTGTTTAAAATGGTATTATCAGCTTTTCTACATATGTGCAATCTGCACTTCCATTTCTTTCCTATGCTACTTGCCAGGCCATTTCAACTTTGCACTATGGAATACAACCCCAAAAGCAACTCATTAAGTTTAAGCTTTGTGAAGTTTTATTCCTTTAACTCTCTAGCTTCTCTAGAGTTTCAGAATATAGATTTTTCTACCGAGTCAGTCTAACTTTATAAATCAGAATACTGAGGCAAGAGGCAATCTGGCTCACTTTCTATTGCAAGAGAGCAAGGTATTAGTGAAGCCCCTTCTTAAGCATCCTGCCTTCTCTACTGTATCTGGGCTACTGGGTCATCATATAAATGTAAAAGAAAGCTTGCGTTAATTTTGTAACAATACTCTGATAAATTAAAAATCTAACTGAATTTTTGGCATATGTGAGAAAGAAACTGGATCAATGGGTCAGAATACAGAGTTCAGATATAATAAGATTAGGTAACACTTGCGCACCACCACTACATACCAAGCACTGTTTTACATATAAAGGATACAAAGAAAAGTAAATAAGTATGTGGTTTGGAAAGATATGCATTAAATACAGTAGGGTAAATACCCAAGAAAAGGGGAGCTGGGTGCAGGAAAGAGGACGGTGGGGGAACAAGTGTCGTGTAGTATACACTGTAACATGAACTGCACTCCACAGTATGGTTAATTCTTGTACACAGGCCCAAAGGGGGGAAAACAGCTGACGCTTACCAAATGCTCATTCTCTACAGTGTATGTGCCATATTTCATGTCTCCTCGGCCCCCGGGTGTGGCTGTCAAAGGCGTGCTTCTTACTTCCCTGTGGAGTTTGGCAAGGTCCTTCCGGTAGTTTCGAAGCTTAGACATCATAGGGTTACGAAAAGACAGGGGTGCATAACGTAGTTCCTCTTCCATCTCTGCCAGCTAGGAAGGCAGAAAATAGTGAGTGGACAGCCTGGTTCTTTTCTGTTTCATGTTAGGTATTCAAAAAGTATGTGATGAATGAGTGAAAAAATGAACAAGTACCTTATAGCTTATTAAACATTTTTATATGCATTCATTCAATCCTCATAGCAAATCAACAAGGCAGGAAATATTATTTCTATTTCATATATAAGACTTGAAAAAACTGCCCTGGCCAATTTGCTCTGTGGTTAGAGCATCAGCCTGCAGACTGAAGGGTCGAGAGTTCGATTCCCAGTCAAGGGTGTCCACGTACCTCGGTTACATGTTCAATCCCCTGCCCTGGTTGGGGCACATGCAGGAGGCAACCAATCAATGTCTCTCTCATGTTGATGTCTTTCTCTCTTTCTCCCCCTCCACCCTCCCTTCCATGCTCTCTAAAAATCAATGGAAATAATATCCTCGGGTGAGAATTTAAAAAAAAAAAAAAAAAAAAAGATCTGGAAAAACCTCAAGATTACACAAAAAGAGAAGTCAGAATTCAAAATCTTCAAGTTCACTGTTTAGAATAATGAGTTCTTAGCCTGTTTTGATTCAGGTGCCATCATGAAGCACTTTGAGGTCTACTGTATAAAAATGATATTTATCTGGCATCAAGGCTCTTCCCTTCCTCCTCCTCTTTCTGAAAATCAATGGTCTCCATGTCAGAGATTTCCATCTGTTTGGGATAAGTAAAATATAAAGCGTGAACATGTTCACAAGAAGACATAAATTATTTTCATCTACCTAGGATGGGTTACTTTTGCTAAGTTCAAAGAAAGAAAGCACCAAACAAATAAATCAGTGTAAGCTAAAAGATTTTTTAAATGCTACCAAGATGTTAACCAAAACAGAAGACTGGCTCTGTAAAAGGTACCATGAATATGCCCATCTATACTCAGGTATTAAGAAAAGTTTCTAGCTCGGCCAGCATGGCTCAGTGGTTGAACGTTGACCTATGAACAGGGAGGTCATGGTTCGATTCCCGGTCAGGGTATATGCCTGGGTTGTGGGCTCAATCCCCAGTGTGGGGTGTGCAGGAGGCAGCCGATTAATGATTATCATCATTGATGTTTCTTTTTCTCTTTCCCTCTCCCTTCCTCTCTGAAATCAGTAAAAATATGTTTGGAAAAGAAAAGTTTCTAGTAGTCCCATTATGAAGGAGATAGGTTCCACAGTCTGATCCTTCTTAAAATAGATGTGCAACAGAGAAAAGGATGCAGATAAACTTAACTTCTCAGAACTTCCCTGGAATAGGGAAGTTGTTCTTCAAGCAAGAAGGAAGTTCTCTGGTTTAAAAACTTCTGACAGCTCTGGGTTGTGATTGAGAACTCATCCTGTCCTTGCATGTCTTACCCAAGATGCCAAATCCAGTCACAATGCTCTCTTTTAAAACAGAAGGGAAAGTGACTTAGAACCACCTGTGAGCTACATTTTGTGACAGTAAGTTTAACAAAGAAAATGAATGATCCTGGTGGACATCTTTTTTTTTTTTAATGTATTATCAAAGCCTCACTTTGGGACAGTCTTCTAGCTTTACCCATTTGTGTTTGTTAACACCTACCCCCAACACCCATCCCCATCAATTGGTCTCATTTAGTCAAAATAATCAAAATCAGGATCAATAAGCAGGAACAATTAATCGGTGATCAGGTCATAAGCATTCGTTTTGAAAAAGATGAACACCAGATAAAAGAAACAAGACCGGTTCTCTGTTCTCACCGTTTCATTTGCTTCTTGTTGCTTTTCATCAAAATCTCTGATCAATTTCTTCTTCTCTTCTGGAAAAGATAAGACCAGTTTCAAATGCTCAGTCCTGTTTCCATACATTTGTAGATCCCATTCCCTCTGAGTAGAATAAACTCCCCATTCCTTCCTTGTTGGGGGTAATAGTTCTTAATCACTTCTAAAAGGCATTTAGAAAAGTATGGGAACTTGTTATGACAATGACTAGGGGGAAGGGAAAGGGAGAGTATCAGTGCTGGCATTTAGTGCCTAGGGAACAAGAATATCCATGGTTAGGATAGTCCTGCATAGCAATGACCTGGCCCCAAAGGCTAATAGTGTCCCTATTAAGAAGCATTATAGGTCTAAGTTAACCACTGTTACCCCGCCTCCCCCAATCCTAACAGAGAGACCAGACACACTATCATCAATGAGAATGCTTAATGATACTGGTTCTGAAATCCGGGTTCCCACCTTCACGCACACCCTAAAGCACTTCTCTATTTAACCCTCATCCACTCCTTTTCTGCAAAACAAATTAAAAGCGCACCTATTCTGCTCACTGGGGAAGCTGCACGCTGTAGCACTTGTTTCTCTGCCATACCCACTGGTGGTGGCATGGAACTGACTCAGTGAGAAAGTCACCCCTTCTGTTTCTCTTTCAATCCTTCGTATCATGTCTTTTTGGTGCTAGTATGTCTTTAATTAGAGGCTTCAACTTCAAAGCAATTGACATCAAGCTAAAACAGCATTGTTTTGCCTTCCTTGTATTTTTCTGACCATTTAGATAGGTTCTACAGATTTCCCATTTAAAATAGTGATATAAAATTTCATTTTAAATAACTTCATGTATTAAAAAATGTATTTTACATGAAATAAGTTGATATAAAGAAAGCAATTAAGTAATAGTAAAAATGGTACTTGGACATGGCAGAAAGGATGAAGGGAGTCCTGGCATGCTGTCACCTGGTAAACACAACAGGAGAACCGCAATAAAACGAGGTATGCCTGTGTTGCCCTTAACAGGGTCTCTTCATCCTATCCTAGCCTATCTAATAAAAGGCTAATATGCAAATAGACCTAATGGCAGAAAGACTGAGCTATGACGCTATGACACGCACTGACCACCAGGGGGCAAATGCTCAACACAGGAGCTGCCCTCTGGTGGTCAGTGGGCTCCCACAGGGGGAGCAGCTCAGCCAGAAGCCGGGCTCACAGATGGCAAGTGCAGGGGCAGTGGCAGGAGCCTGCCTTCACAGCAAAGCTATAGATGTCCCACTGCCCACGGGGAGTCCCAGACTGCGAGAGGGCGCAGGCCCAGCTGAGGAACCTCTCCCCTCCCGGCACCCCCCCCCCACAGTGCACAAATCTTGTGCACCAGGCCTCTAGTATTTACATATTATCATCAGCCCACTAAAACGGGGATTGTAAATCTTTTCACTGCAATTTGCATTATTAACAGCATCTGGAGCAGAACTGGGCACCCGATAACCTCTCCTAATAAATACAAGTTAAACAAATGTATGAATTTCACTCTCACCATTCAATTCATATGACTTTGGATAACTCACATAGCTAACACAAACTCCGAGCCCTGAACTTATCCACCAGACAAAGAACTGTGCTTCCTAAGGATTTAGAACAACTCTAGCGCCTCCAGGCAAAGCTTTGAGCAACCTGAATTTTGAAATAATGGGGCAGGACACAGTCTAGCAGAAAGTTCCTAAGAGGACCACACACCTACATGCCACAATCCTGATTTTAAAGACCAACCCCCAAAACTATGATTCCTTTGGGTGTTCTTAACCCTTTTGGTGCTATGGATCCTTTGCCAGTCTGCTGAAAACTGTGGACCTCTTTTGAGAATAACCACTTAAATATATAAAACAAAATTCAGAGGGCAATCAATTCTACCGAAATACAGAATCTTTGAAGTCTCCTATTCTTTTCTTGCCGCAGTGAAAGTGAGATGAGAAAAATTTGGAGGATGAAGAATCCCAAGGAAACGACACTCCGAGGTCCACCACTGAGCACCCTACTTGGATGGGGAGGTCCTGGGCGCCAGCTCTAGAGGGGGCGTTGGGAGACCAGGAGGGCAGCCAGGGCTCCGGACTGGGAAGAGGGTGGGGGCTTCTCCTCCCAGAGCAGCGGGCCGAGTTCCCAGGGCCCCGCCTCACCTGTCCCCCTCT